AACGTATGCACCGCTCAAGCAAAATAATTAAAGTCGTCGTGTCAACCGTCCGAGTTTTCGCGTGCGCGAATGTAACAAAAGCTGCCGCGGACCCACGCGCCGCATGACACGATAATAGCGATAATTACAGCGACGCACGCGCGTGCGCGCGCGCGCAGCAGAGGGCTGCGCTCATAAGCGACAATTAAGCACATATAACGCTACCGTATAACATAAATACCGCTGCTCTCTGGCCTATGCGCAAAACAGAGATAATGTGGCGATGGTATATAAGCGGCTAATTGTTGGAAAATTGCTGGTTGCCAACGACAAGATCTCTCTCATGGAAACTCGGGCGCGCCTGATCATATGCCAATGGCATCTTTTTTCCCTGCCTCTTTTCGTGTCGCGCGATGCGTGCTTCTTTCTTTTTTTGCGCGGGAACGTCAGCGTAGAAAGGAAAAATAAATCGCGCGCGCGATTCCCCGGAGAGGACGATCGTGTGCACGCGCGATATTGCGTGTCGATGAGTTATTCGTGTCGGGCTACTTTTTTCTTTCTTTTTTCTGCAAGACCGCGTGCGAAGACGAATATAATGATATCTTTATTGGATGCTAAATAGTTTGATTGCCGGTCGTAATTTTCGTCATCGCGCGTCAATTTGCATGGCTTTATTTATTTTTTTTAAATTTTTTTATCGCGTTCGCACTGTTCTTGGAAAAACGCGAACGAGAGAGAAATAATTGTCCTCGATAAGGAGTCATTAAAGACGCTCGATTACTAAATAGCTTTGAATTCACGAAAAAAAAATCCCGTGGTAGTAAACAGTGGGTATGCATCGCGCGTAACCGCGCACGCTGGGCAATTTCGTATTACTCGAAGTTTCGTATAAAATATCCATAAATTAGGTATATAATACAATGTACACACACACGCGTAATCACGGATGTGGAACGCGCGGCGTACTGCACTCTAAGTATCTCGTCTGCATAATTCGGGAAGGTGCGACGATGATTAATTTGGCCGATAACTCTGAAGCAACAGCATCTCATCGACATATTGGCGTGATGCGATTGACGCGTCAAATGTTTCGGGGCGCCTCTCGCTCTCTGAGATTGTGCAAAATAACGTGCAAACTCGAGCGACGCCCTCGACCGCCCCACGGCAATACGGTAATCACTATAATTACGCATCGAAGCCCTTATATTAATATCCCCCAGCTACGTCTCTTTTTCGCGCGCGAGTGCTCTCTCTCTCTCTCTCTCTCTTTCTCTCCGCGCTTCCTACTTATGCGCGAACGCGCGAGCTTCAACTATTTCTTCACACGTCGTTATGAGTGTGTTGTTGCCAATTTCGATGAACTTATTTCTCGACTACAGTTAGAAAGATAAACGAAACGTGTTATCTATGCGTTCCTTTCATTTCAGTCTTGCAGTGCCTGTCAAGTTCCGTATTGAAGGAATAGCGTCATCGTACGAAAGAAAGAAATAAAAATCTCCTTTCACCATTGACAAACATTTTTCTTGTTGGCAATGCATTGTAAGCGGAATGGCATCATAAAACGCCAATTTATTTTGCTTTCAACTTTCCAGTTTGTCTTCGCCGCTTTTGCGTTACATCATCCATGAAATTGTCGCCACCATCTCGTGGCATCATCAAACTTCTATATTTAGAAAGAGACACTCTTACGTTTTCCATTCTGTAACTCCCGTTCGCGATCAAATTTCGCGAAATGATTCGTCCCTTTGGTACACTATGTACGTGAAATCAGCGAATGGGCTTCAAATGTTCGGGGTAAAAATCTTTTTTTTGCCCCCAAGCCACCCGAGCTCACTTCGGCAGTGAATACTATACAGCAAGTAAAGTTCCCGTGAAATCCGACTTCCTCTCGCTCGTTTGAAAATCCGAATTGCAAATCTCGCCCGACGACTCTTCGTTGGCTCGTCGGTGGATACACCCGAAATAAAATCAAAGAACGGATAGAGAGAGAAAGAGAGAGAGAGAGAGAGAGTTACTGTGCAGAGGGTGTGTGTGTGTATGTATGTATGCAGCTCTCTCTTCGATATTCAATTGGCAATCGAACAAATTAAGTTTTCACATCGGCGACGGGAGATGAACAATTAAACAAAGTCACGCCCAATGCATATATAGTCGCTCGGTAGATGCTGCTTTTTATCAAGTTTCTTCTTTTTAATCTATCTCTCCTCGCACGGATCGTCGTAATTATTTACGACTTAACATTTTGTCGACGCACAGTAAAATTAGGGTTAAGATTAATGATTTGCGTCGGCGTTTCGGATATTTTTGAAAATGCATCCAGGAAATTACCGGCATAATCAGTTTTTCTTTAGAGTTTTGGATGTCGGAAAGGCTTGGCGGCGAGCTTGGCGGGGTGATTAGTCAGTGTCATTCATTTTTTGTATTACGAGCTGCGTGGCTTGTAATGAATCGTAACGGAAACGATGAAAAGTTTGTAAGAACATACGGGATCTGTCAGTATTAAAGGAATAAGGACATACGTTGTTGATGCGTTACATAAAGTTTCTTCAAGAAATTTTTCATTGTAAAGATCTTGAAAAATTGTACTTATAATTAATAAAAATAAATGATCAAGTATTTTGCGGATTTTCTTGGTGATATGAATTTCTTCATTTAGTATAGCACTTAATATTTTTTATATTAATATTTATCTTAAACTAAATTTTATGAAAAACAAAATACAACCACTTGCAATCGAATAATAATATTCAATTTTTATTTATCAAACACTAAGCTACATGGCTGACCGAAACTACACTTTTTCTACTGAAAAGATTTACATATAATGAATTTTCCATAGATACGTAATTTTGAAAGCTTAACATTTGCATGAAAAGAAAATTTCAAAAAAGATAAAAAGTTACCTCGAGGAACTCGTTCTCGGGGGGTTGATGATTCATCTGCTGTGGCATCGCTTGATGCACATTCATGGCACTTTGCGGATGCATCGCTTGCGGATACTGGTAAGCGCAATTCATCTTCGCCTTATATTTCTCTACGTGTATTCGTCAAATCACTGCACACTCTCAAAAAAAAAAAAAAAAAAAATAATAATAATAATAAAAACAAAAATCCGATCAAATGAATCTCCTTTTCAATTTCGCACGAGCTGGCAGGCACTCATTTTTCGTCACTATACAGAACTATGTTCACCGTCGTATAGCACACGCCTTCAATTGAAGCATCTCACGCATGAGCGAGCGAGCAACCCAGTGACCCGAGAGAGAGAGAGAGAAAGACAGACAGACAGAGAGAGAGAGAGAGTATGTAGCGTAGGAGTGCAGAGCGAGAGCAAACAATTATGAGAGAGAGAGAGGCAAAGTGATGCAGCTCTCAAGGGCCGACAATTATAACTGAGGTGGGCTTTTGCTGTGAGAGCTGAGGATCCACACGGCAAACGCGCGCTCGCGCTCTCTCTCTCTCTCGCTCTTGTGGGAGGCGGACCCCGCGCGTCTTATTTCTTTCACGCATGTGTGTACACGCTCTCTTGCTCGCTCGCGCTGGTGGGGTTTCTCTCTCTTGCTCTCTCACTCTCCGCCCTCGGCTTTGTCTCGAGACGCGATCTAATCCCAAGAGCCGCTGCCTGAACGTACGTGCGAGTGTAGTCTCTCCCGCTCTGTTCAACCCCGCGCCAAAGTATATCCCTTCCACTGGCGAATGCGTGCGGCCAATTAAAACTTGCCGCGGATCACGTGGTCACCTTCTCCCAACCAAGCAAGAGAAACCGAGATTGCAACTCGCGTTTCTCGATCCTTTTTTCTCCTTGTCCCGAGCGCAACTTGCTGTCGCCCCTTCTTCGTCTTTTTCCTCTTGTCTTATTTTTCTCGTTTCTGCCGTGTGCGTTTTTTTTCTGTTTTTTTTCTTTACTTGGAGGCTCCGCGGCGGATATGCCACAAGTTTGTCGTGCTTTTATTGCGCCGACGAGGAGCGCCCGCGCGCAGGCTTGCAAACGAGCCGATACGTGGGAGAGAGAGAGACTCGATGAGCTTTTGGATTAAAACTGCGGGATCCGAGAGGGGGATTGAAAATTGAGTGAGTATTTTTAGCTGGTTATTGGAGGCTATTAAGCATTTTTTATTCAACGTTTATCGCTCCAGTTTTTTTTCACTTCTTTACTTAAGGAATATCGAGTTCATTTATCTAAATGTGTGTATCAATTTTCCCAGCAAGCAACTTTTTGAGAGAGCAAATTATGCAGCTGCAAAGAAAATAGACGAATATAGACAGATTAAAACGCATTAAAACTTGAATTTGCTCGGGTCGCTTGGAACTCCGTCTACTTTGAATATATACCATGACTCGTCGGCTCATCATTCATAAATATCCATTGTACACATCTGAGGTCCGATCGCAAAGGGCTGAATGAAACATATACATTGCAGTCACGAGCTGAGCTATGATATCTTTGGCCTCAGACCGACAGAGATTCATCGGGTTCAACAGAAGAGATCGTAACGTAGCGCGCGTAACATGAGCCCTCGGTGGTAGCGGCGCGTAACTTCCATTGAGAAACTCTCTAATATTCATTCGCGTTCGGTCATTCATTCGTTCGCGGCGCGTAACTGCTCCCCGGATGTCGATTACAGATCGCACGCATGCGGTCCTGATAAGAAATGGCAGGTTTCAAACAAACGTTTGCACGCGTAAAATTACTCAAGCATACCGGCGTACTTTTTTGTTGCTGCAATTATCTCGTTAAACTCTGTCTATAGCTCTAAAACTCTCTGATTAATTAGCCGCGTAGTCAGTTACAAATGAGTTGGTCGTTCGTATATTTCCAGAGTGATCGCGAACCCGCAAGACCCGGATACCTTTAGCCGGCGCGCGGGCGCATAAGATGAATATCCACATCCGGCCAGGTGGCGCCTGCGGAGTACCAACGAAGATCTGCCGAGTTTTCACGAAATAAGAGTAGCAGTACGAGATGATTGATGAGCTCGAACGAGAGGGAGAAGGGTTTATAAAAACGCATGATGTGCGACTCTTGTGCGCGTTTTCATTTTTAAATTAACATTGTATCTTTCGAGTTATATTTACAAATTACTTTTGATAGAATTTGCGAGAAGATCTATTTGAGGGTGATATTTCACTGCGAATGGCGGCTCGTCGTTATCCACAACCCAAACGGATCCACAATTTCCTTCTTTGATGATCTTCATTACTGCTGCAGCTACGGTATCAGGTCTGAAATGGAACGGTAATTTTTCATTAACATCCAGTTCTCTGGCATCGAACTATCAAAATTCCATTACGATTGTTTCTTCAGAGATGAAATATCCATGAGATAATAAGTATTGAATTCCAAATTATTATAGGTGGTATCAAGAATCGGTGTATCAGTCAAACCTGGACAGATTGCAACCACTCTAACACCAGTCGTTTCGTAATGTTGCTGTTAACAATGTTCCATTATTTCTAGTTGAATGCTTGTTAATAATTTTTCAAGAAAGTCAAATGATAAAATGAAACCTCCATTGTTCGCGTAAAACTAACAACAGCGTGTTTAGTAGAGCAGTAAATAGGATAGAAAATATTTTGAAGTCCCAATGTCGACGCGATGTTAACGATGGTGCCACCTTCGCCACCCTTATGTTTTCCAATGCGTTTGATCACCATCAAACTAGCCAAGACGACAGCTTTCTGTGGGAATTCCATCAATGTCAACTATTCTTAATAAAATACATGAGATTTTTTATATGTACGTAATTGACGTCCATCATGAGCTCTGGATTATCTTCATGGGCAATTCCAGCATTATTTATGAGAATATCGACAGTGTTGTACGTTTGAAATACTTTCTCGAAGTTTTCTGTTTAGAATTATCAATTATTGCTTATTGAAAACAAAGAAACGTAAATTGCAAGCACTCACCTTCTAACTGAGAAGTTTTTGATACGTCACATGGATATAGTCCGATTTTTGATTTATACACTTTTTCTAAATCTTTTACTATTTTTCTAGAGTTTTCGTGATCCAGTTCAAACATAGCGAGGAACTGCGACGATTGAAAAAATATTTGTTAGTGTAATATTCAGTCGATTTTAACAAAAGCAAGACTAACCTTAATTTCCGTATTTAATAATTGTTTAACGATAGCTAAACCAATACCACTAGATCCACCAGTGATAACCACCACTTTTTCTTTGAGATCGTTCATTTTTCTTGAACGTTAAATTTGGCAAGGTGTTTGCAAAGTGACGGCTAAAATCCTACTGCAGTAGTATTTCAACGAATAATTTCCGGAATAGCATTGACATGCACAAACAAAAAAACTAGTTTGTTTCTTATCGTCAGCGGTCTGAACGATAACTGTTGCTAACAAGTTTGGCATTGAAGAGCATTGTTACGAGGAAAGGCAGGCAAACAAATTACATACGAATTGCGAAGAAACAAGACTTTTCCATCGTTCCCCGAGGCTTGATTACGTCCTAAAAGTCCGTTGCAGTATAAACATTAGTCACCTTATATGCACTTGGCGCAACCTCGGATCCGACCACATGGGCCAAGCTCGTTTCTGCGCGCTCTGTTATTATCCATCGTATCGTTCGTTTGATTCTTTTACAGTTTCGCGACTAGACATTTCTCTCTCGCTCTCAAAGAGAAATACTTTCTCGGTGGAGGAGAAGAGTTAGAAAAAAAATATATATATCGCGCAAAAGAAGAATAGCCTCCCCCGACACACACGGTCAGCCGTAGCCTGCAATTAAATGTCCGCAAGTTCCCATATAGTATATAGAGGGGTTGTGTGCCGCGCTGTGCCGCGCACGCGCTTCATTCTAATCGACTCTTTCTTTCTCCGACCGTAAAACGCCACGTTGTAAATCAATGTTTTGCCATGTAGGTTTTCTTTTCGTTTTTTCGGCGCTGCTTCACAGCACACCAAGCGCCAAGTGGGCTTCTCTGAGATATGACTGCTTTTTATTTTCGTTACAATGTTCGCGCGCGGCTTTCATTACTTTTGTTGCTCGCGCAAGATTTTGATTTACCGCGCGCGTGCACAGTCGAGTACATTTCTCGAAGGTTAATCATTAGTTTTCGAAGCAGCTCTGGACCGTGCACACGTGTGTCGACTCATTTTTAAAATGAGTTTACCCGGCGGTTTACACGTGGCATAAGATAATTACTATTCAAGTTGTGCTCCTTTTCTTACATATCTATAGAACAATTCTAGATGTAAAATTTATGCATAGTTATGGTGTAAACTTCGACATCGACCATCCCATCTAGCTAATAATTACTATAAGGTTTCAACTTCGCTTTATATTTAAAATACACATGTATTACGTGACTTTATTCGATTGCGATCTATGTCGCATCAGCTCGTGAAAAAGAAAAAATTCTATAACATAATAGCTACGATAAATCCAGTAGATTTACGAGCTCGCAACAATGGCATCCACGGCGAAATTCGAAGCACGCGATAATGATCCCGAACTATTTCCAAAGCCCCAACACTATGTAGTGAGAGCACTTAATCATCATAAAACATCGGCGAGTGTCCAAGCTAATCGCGGATCGGTAGCGTTAAATCAGCACACGCCGAATTATATACGTCCGTCGAATCCAGTGGCAGTGTAGGCACTGAAGCTAAACATTACCCGCGCACACACATGTAATAATGACGATGATTCGCACAGCTCGGCGAAACTCGCTCATCATCACGTCAAACCCTTACACGGTCACCTGCGGCTGAAAAAAGAAATCCCCGAAACACACAGAAAACCTTGTATGGAATTATCAATCGAGCATCGGCCTGTTATTAAAAGATTCTCGAGATGCATCTACACGATTGCTCCCTCAAGATTTATCAATGTAGCGCTCTGTTTTAAGACTTTCCACGATGACGAGACAAGCTCTATGCTAATTAATTCACCCTGTAAATGCGTGCATTTGCGACCGATGATGAATGGCGCTGGCTTCGCAATTGTCCGCGTCATAATTATAACGACAATTATGCAAAATATAGATGGAATTAATCGTGTAATTGCATGCTGCTCACTCCTGCGCGCAGAGGCAAAGAAAGAAAGATACAATGATATATATCGTTTCGCGGAGTATTCTTATACGTGATACGAACGTCGATTTTGCCAATGTGTTTATGTGTTATTGACTTGCGACTTAGCGGAATATAAAAAATTACACTGACGTGTGGGAAATACGCATTTCGATCTTGATTGGCATTCGATACCACGCGCTTTTGTCGTTGAGTATAGGCTTCGAGTCGCATAGCCATGACTAATTGCCGTGATTGATTGATTTACCACACTCAGCACGCGAATATGCACGTGGATATTGCGAACGCGTCGAGAGACTTTTTCGGAGAGACCGAGCTGACAATGCACGATGCTATTTTCGGTAACAGCGACAATTATCTGATTGAATTATTCGATATCCCGGAGCCTATTTTAATAACAATTAAGTTTGATCGCTCGCGACGTACAATTCATGTTGCGAAACACAGCTCTTCAAAAGAAACTAAACCGAACATTAAAAACAATAAATCTCGAGGGTATAGGAAATTATCGTGCGTAGATACTCTAAACGCAAAAATGAGATGCGCGTGCGAACATGAATTAATTTCTCTCTCTCGCTCTCTCGAGTCCTTAAAAGGTTGGCGTAATTGAAGAACGTGCGGCGCATCGGAATCCGTCGGAGAAGGCGCGGCGGCATGACGGATCGAATTGAGTGTACGTATACGTGTGGTGTGTTACCAACATGGCTGCGCATGTGATGCCCTTCGCAGAAAGATGGTGGACCTCGTCAGAGAAAGAGAAAGAAAGAAAGAAAGAGCCGGAGATGACGGTGATATATGCACCGCGAGGAGGAGCGATGTTGAGCTTAAGCTCGTGTGCTATAGGTGGATTCGGACGTGGGGACGCTCTGTTGGACACCAAACAAGTTTCGTTTTTTGACTTTTCGTTCTTCTTTTTTCTTTGCACTTTCTCCATCCACGTTTCGTTTCTTAGATACGTGCTTGCTGCATCTCCAATGATTTTTAATGCGATGATTCGATGATTCAAATATTGATGGAAATATTGAAAGCAAAGTGGAATGATCGAGTGCGTTTCTCGAAAATAGAAAATTCGAACAATATTGTCATCTAGTGATTTGACATACCAACGATTTGTAGTGAGATGTTCAATGGCTCCTCCGATCATTCGAAGTTCAATTGAATAATAGTTTAAAAGTAAATTCATCTAAACTACGAATAATTTCATTCGATAATAAATAAAAGAGCAGAGATGAACCGACGCACGTGCATCATAAAATGACGTTCAACAAAGAGAAAGCAAAAAAAATTAAAAAATAAAAAGTAGAGGCAGCATGCCCTGACATAAAATAACCAGAAAGTCCGTCGTAAAAAAATAAATAATCAAAGTTGAAAGAGAAGAGACGTCGTTGCGAAGGAAAAGAAAAAAAGGAGAAATCATAAAAGGATGCAGCCGGAGAGGCCGAGCTCTCTCTCTCTCTCTCTCTCTCTCTCTCTCTCTCTCTCTCTCTCTCTCTCTCTCTTTTGGCGCGTCCGTCACGTTTTGCATGAGTGGGGTAGGAGGCCGCGAGCGAGTGTGAGAGGGAGAAAAAGAGAAAGAGAGTAAAATATCGCGTGGGTGCGAAATAAAATGGTGGCCCCGGTAACGAGTAAGCGCTTAATAAAAAGGAGAGCCGCGAGCGCCGCACGCGCCTTTTCTAAGTATACACCCCGCAGACTCAGCCGTGTACGTGTGCGTCTATGCGCGCGATAGAGGGTAACGAGAGACTTTGTGGTTTATGAAGAGCGAGCGAGTACGCGCTCACGGAAAATTGAAGTGCGCCCCGCTGCGAGGAGTTGCGGCCGCAGCGCACCGCGATTTTCGCCAGCGAGTTATATGTATATGCACGCGCTCGCGCTCTTCACGAGGTGATCGACACGTTGACGATGCGCAGTGCAATATCAAATTTGCTCGCATCGCGGCTTTTATTTTTCCCGTGCGACGATATTGCAGTGTTTCCTCGAAGTCGCGTGGAAGACTCCACGAGTCGAAGCTGTATGATTAACAAATTAAAGCTTTGCTATCAATTCGTTAACTACGTGTAACGAATACAACAAATTGTAAACTTTTGAATCTCAATTTGGCTTGGACGATTGATTATTATATTGGCAGGACGGTTTGCATAGATCAAGGTTTTCATTGACCAATCCGCTATATTTAAAATAGTTCCGACAATCAAACGCGAACACTTGTTCAATTAGCAGCTAAACTTGAAAGCCGATAAAAACCAGTTTTGCGTATAATAAAACGATGGTACGTGTATTTGTCTGCGTGCACAAGACGACGGCTGCACATAAATTTGGCTGAAATCGTACAAGGCAATCGAGAGATGCGATTTTCGCACGTTATCCGTTCAAATCGTCGATCGTCCCACGTATATACATATAGGATGGGAGCTGAGGATATGTATGGTTGTTTTTGTTTTTTGCTTCCTCATCTCCCTGAAGCGCATGATCCTTTTTATTCTCTCTCACTCTTGGCCGCCTTATACACACGCATGGTGTGCGTATCTCGCTGCGAAACTTATATATACTTGGCTGGGTCGGGAGCGTTGCGTAGGAAGAGCAAGAGAGAGAAGGAGAGGGGGGGGGGGGGCGAAAGAAGAAACCGATACGCTATATACGCGCGGCGGTCCTCGAACCCGGTAATTAAATAGCGCAACCCTGCAATTAGGGCCACTAAATCGTGCGCGCCCGCCAGACACAAAAAATAACGTTCCTCTTTTCTCTCTCGCACAAGCTCGCTCTCTTCTGCCTCTCGATCGCGAAAAAGAAAGAGAGAGAGAGAGAGAGAGAGAGAGAGAGAGAGAGAGAGAGAGAGAGAGAGAGAGAGAGAGAGAGAGAGATGAAGAGATTAGGAACCGAGGCCGTCTCAGCGAACACACGCGGGGGTGGTTTTGGCAAAATGTGGGAACGAGCTGCTCTAGAGGAGAGACAGTGACGCAACGGTTCGTGCGCGCTCGCGCCGTCTGTGCGTATATCCCGACGGACTTTTCAGAATTGGATTAGCACGCGAGCAGGCATCCACGCGTGGGCGCTGCTTTGCATCCGAGGCATTATCCGCGTGCTCGACCGTTCTAGGAAGCATTATCCTCGCGCGCGCCAACCCAATTTGAATTTTCATCAATTTTTAAGTAGCTTGGACCATCTCTCCAAGATTACCTTGCGACGCTTAGGAGAACCCTCGGCGTCGACAATTT